TTATCTTTGTGGTACCCAAGGTCAGGGAATACTCTTAAACTTAACCCAATGGAATGGGTTTATCTTTATATCCAATTTTTTTCTTTAAAAGAAAAAAATTGTTCCCCCGTAGGGAGTTTTGATGGATGACGCGACGCTGAAGTTTCCTGATGTGGTTCCTGGTGGAATTATTTCATTATGTGTCCTGGCATTATGATGGATGGACCGAGCTGGTCATGGCGGCTGTGGAAGGGGATCCCAGTAAGGTGTTTTCATGCTTCTTTAAATGGATATTACATTTCTTGAAGCAACTGTAAATTGTGTGTGCGTGGGGAAAATCACTTTGTCTCGAATGTGGATATTTGAGTAAAAGTTTCAGAATAGGGAAGAAAGGTGACAAGGACTGGTGTCATAATGCTCCAGTATCGGTGCGGTGTTTCCATTCGGGTCTGTGATTTCACTGGGCTCACTTATCTGTTATTTATAACTCAATCGCCCCCCTCGGAAGGAACCCGGGCAGTGTATTTTCTATTCACGTATACATTTGGGGGGGTTGAGGGCCGGGGGATGGGAGGGAAGTGGCAAGATAGGCATAGGCAGGGCCGGGTGTGTAGTGTAGACACGAGCCGCTCAGGGATACGATCTTGCATTGAGCCCCATTCAGGTGTAAAATAACTGACTAGGTTGGGCTATAAATTTTTCTTACTGATTACAAAATAATACCATTAAAACCTAAATGTAGTTAAGGCTTAAATTTGCTAACTTTCATAATCTCTATGTCATAACTCAAAATTTACAAAAGTTTCCCTCATTTCTAGAAGATTATGTAATAGTTTCCATTTTAGCATACATTTATTAAATGTAAAAACAGAACGACCCTTATTTCCTTAGTCATTTTATAAATATGTTTGAAAGTATCGATTTGTGTGATAAATCTGAAGTAAGCTATCATACGCTTTGCCACGATTTCCTAAAGAGAAAGCCCGGTGCTGCCCGGTGAGGGTTACAGTGGGTCAGGTCAGAAGACGGTCCTCTCACCCTTCTCCAGCAGTGTCTGCCTCAGCGCTTTGGCCAGCAGCACCCTGACGTTTGGAACAGGATCCGAGGCGAGGCTCAACAGGCTGGGGAGCAAGTGTTCCACAAACTGCTCCACGGGGACGCACCCCTCACTCACCACCCCCTGGAGGAGGAAAGGCACAGCCGAAGAAGTGGTGTTTTCAACAGGGAGCGATCAGCATGCTTCTTCTGAAAATGGACACTTCAGTAGTTCCAAAGAAGTAATTTCGGGATCTGTTGGTCTGAGGGGGCGGTGTGTGTGTGTCTGAATTTTAAAATCTCAACTGCTAAATTTGGTTAGAAACACAATTAACGTTTTCTAATTGCTCACCAAGCACTGGTTACAAGGAGTATGCTATTTGGTGGAGAAAGCAAAGGCTTTTGAGTCAGCCAGGTCTGGGTTCAAACCCTCACTCGGTCCCTCACTAGCTCCATGGCCTTGGGTAAGTGGCATCACCTTTCTCAGCTGCCGTTTCCTCATCTGCACAGCGGAGAAGCGTGGCAGGCCACTTCTGCAGAGAGTCAAACGTGGCACCACCAGGAAGGGTTAAGAACCCTCACCAGAACTCAGCTCTGAGGGCAGGGACCGCGCATGGAAGGGAGGGCCAGCTCCTGGAGTCCGGTGTCGCGCCAGCCGCCTGTGGTCACCTGGTAACACTGCCGCAGTGCTAACCACCTGCATCGCACACTGCCTCTCTGCTCCCCGAGCCCCACGCGCACTCGCATGACACTCTCCCAGCCGCCCATGCGAATCAGAAATAAGGACTCTGTCCAGTGGGGCGGGGACACCCACTGGCCTCATGACCAACAAGCAGCGGCAGGGCGCAGATTCCAAGCCAGGGGTGAGGACCCTAAAGCCTGTCGACCTTCCCACTACAAGGCACCAACAGCAGCTGGTAGCGCCCAGGTGCAGGCAGTGCGCTGGTGGCTCAGCCTCAGGACCATCAGGAGGCGGCCGACTGCTGCCCCACTCGCGGAAGGCGAGCCGCAGCACGGGGGAGCACTCTGCCCGCCGCCCGAGGGAGCAGCAGACTGGCTTCACAGCAGCGGTGTGGACTCACGTCGCCCCCTGCCTTCCAGCGTCTCATCTCTCCCTCGAGCTGCGCTGGAATGATAATCCCTGTGACCCTTAGGCAGGACTCTTGGCTGAGCACCTTCCCTTTTGTTTGTGTTATTGTGAGTCTCCTAAATCTTTAACAATTAGTGAAAGCAAAAAGGAAAACTGATTTTTCTTGAGTAAAATTAGTTGGAGGCTCTTCCTTTTGTTTCATCATGGATTTTCTAGCCCTCAGATAAAGAATTAAAAAATAAAAGCAAGACTATCTCATTTATCCTTTCTCCACAAAATGGTCCGAGCATTGACTTCTTCCTTACAAGGTGGCAGGCCCGTAGTTTGTGAATTTGGCACTTTCTCTGCCACCCACTGCACTTCTCAAAGTGGATGGCCAGAGTACCCCTGTGGTGCCTCTCCAGCCCAACAGAGGGCCCTGGTGAGTCCTTCAGTGGGGGTGGTTATGAGGGAGAGAAAAGGGTTTGGGGCCTGGGGTCAAGTGGAATCCAGCCACACCTTTACTGTACTACTGAGAAAGCTGAGTGATGGGTTCATGGAGATTCATTATACTAGTCCCTCTACCTTTGTATGTGCTTGAAAATGTGCAGGAGGAAAAGTTAAAACTTTTGAAATAACACTTTAACAGAAAAAAATCATGGTTTTACATTTCCTGTGTGATCTTGAACAAGTTACTTAACCTCTCTGGGCTTCAATTGCTTCATCTAAAAAAACTGATCTAAAAGTATACAGGTGTACCATGCTCAATGCACGGCAGATCTTATTATTGAGGATTAGATGGGTGATGAGATGTCTGGCACACAGAGGCATTCGAGAAATGGCAGCCATCATGCCTACCCCCGGCCAAACATCAACTGCACCCTCATCTCCATGACGCGAGGTAGAGAGGGCAACATGAGGAGCTGGGCAGGCTGACGTGAACTTGCCCTGAAAGAGGGGAGCAGTCTCCGCCCTAACCTCCTGCTCTGCTCTTCAGTCCCCCTTCTCTCCAAGGCAGCTGGCTAAGGGGAGGGGTAGTGAGGAGCACAGCCCTGGGCTGGACGGGACAGGAGCAGGGCTCTGGGCCTGGCCCTCGCCTCGCCAGGTGGAAGGTGCTGGGAGAGCAGAAGCGTGTCCACTCTCTGTCCCCAGCATCTAGAGTCGGCCTGGCACACAGCAGGCACTCAATCAGTATCCCTAGAACGAACATGTGTACGGGTCGGGTAACTGTGGGCGAGTCACTTTGCCTGACTGAGTTGTCACAATCTCCTGTGAGATGAGGGGTCCAGTCGACTGATCCCCAAGTCACGGGCTGGCATTCCAGGCTGGTGCACCCGACCAACAGAGGGCAGACCCCCCAGGCGGTGCTAACCTGACAAATGAAAGCGAAAGCTTGCCTTCCGACCCACTTAGAACAGTGCCGGAATCTTACGACGAGTTCCTGGATGAAATTTAACCCCAAGACGTTTTCTCTGTTTGAATAGAACTTCTGCAGAATTGCCACAACCTGTGAAAAACATCAGAAGAGCACATTTAAAATGGTGCATCTGTTTGAATTCCCAATATTGCTCTACACGGAAACTAGACATTTTTGTGCACCCTTCCACTTTTAAAATGAATTTATAAGCAGAGGAGAAAGTAATTTTTCTTACAGTAATCATTAGAACACAGAGGAGAAAAGATGTTTAAGTTTGCGGCAACACACGCACACACAAAACCCTGCGTAACGAAATTGAAAAGGGTCTGGCATCAGAGAAATACATGACTAATCTTCAGATTCCAAATGTTAGAAGAGTCCCCTCACAGAGTAACTAAATCACTCCCTTTCAGAACATGTCATTTTAATAACATTTTAACACCAGCAGAGTCCCTTAGTAAATCAATATTTTCAAATGAACTTTTTTCCTCTGCATTCAGCTGGTGTAAGCCCACACGAAACACGATCAGCTTCTCTCTGCCAGTTTGTGCTCACGAACTACCTCTCTACGAAACCATGCTGTAGAGTAAACCCAATCTGTGCTTAAAAGAAACCCTAAGCCACTGTTTACAGGGTTTCATATATAAAATGATTTACCCACAATTTCTATCACTGAAGCATACTGATTAACAAAAAAGCTATTTTACATATTGATAAAATTATAATACAGTTCCTAACTTAAAAGCTGGTTTCATAGGTAAACTGACAAATTAAGCCCAGAAAAAATGAAGGAGTTAAAAATGGAAGAAACATAAATATTCCTATTTCCAAAAATCACAGAGAACGCCCTGATTCCTTACTAGTTTGAAGGAGATCCAGCGAACTTCAGAGACTTTATCTGCACACAACTTTAAGGCAATATGCATTAAATAATCATGAACGTCGTTGGGATTATAGAGTTCCAAAATCAGTATCAGCTGTCTGAAATTTAAAAAAAAGAAATTGTTTTTTGGGGGCAAAAACCATCTTATTAGTTTCTCTTTACTTTCATCTTACAGATATAAACAGCCAGCCTGGGATATCAACGCAATGCAGCAAAGCTTTCGTCAGTGAAATGCCAAAAGCAGAAAGCTGGGTGAAACGGCCACGCAAAGAAAAGTGAAAAAAAATCCTCCATTCTTCATCTCATACACACAAACAAATCAAACAAAAAGGGAATAAATTAAACTTTGTAAAACAGAGGCTGAGATATTTATGAATAAGGATTATCTATTTCAATTTTAGGTTATCAGTTCGAAAGCACATAAAACTTTAAAAATCAGATAACACAAAAATAGCCAGAACACTGAAGTTCCCAAAGATCGAGAGATCAAGGGCAGACTCAAATGAGGCTTCACTGCCCCCGCGGCTTCACGGCCCCCGCGGCGCTCCTGAAGCTGCACGGGAAACTTTCGGCTTCTGCCGGCGGCTCACGCGCAGGGCACGAGCCTCTCACCAGCCAGCGAGCTCCGCGTGGGGAGAACCAGAGCATCAGCTCCTCACTCCAGGGGGAAAATTCATAAGGTGGCCGTTGGCAAAACCGACCACCAAAGCTTTCACTATTTTCTAAATGGGGATGGGGAGAAGGGGATGAAAATAAATGGCATTATTTCCACACTGGCAACGAAAGGAAATGAAAAAGAGATTGGAAGGAAGTTAGAACCAGGAGCCAGAAGTGCCGGTGAATACTTTCATATCAAAATGCACTGTTTTCAGAAAAATGATACCAATATCATGGGCACAGGAGCACAGAATTCATATCAGGGGCTTTGGCTTCAATAACCACAGCAGAGATGGAAGATAGCCAGCACTCGGAGATAACGCTGTCGGGCGATGCCAGCCCGCCTGGCCCCAGCTCCGTCCCCCTATCCTCCGCCGCCCGGCCCGACCTGTCCCCGCCCCATCCCCCTCCCTGTTCTGGTCTCCGGCCCCCTCCCCATTCCGTCCCCGCCCCACCCCCCTCCCCATTCCGCCCCGCCCCATCCCCCCGGCCCCATCCCCGCCGGGAAGCCAGTCCACCTCGCCGAGTTCCTGCACACTGCCGCTAGAGGGCGCGATGCTTTCATGGAAAACGTGGGTCTGTTTTTCTGTTCTCAGGATATTCGCTGGGAACATGGCATAATGACTAAAGCCTCAATCTCTCAAATTAAGCATAATGATTAAAGATCACAGCAAAGAGAAAATCTTTTAGTTTGCCCCTGGCATCGGCCAAATCATATCCCGAATAGCTGCAAAAGCTTGATGGATTTCCACAGGGAAGACAATTATCTGAGAGATTTCTAGTTGAGGGGAAGAAAAATGAAAACTAAAGATACGGAAATAAATCTTGACAAGGTGAAAACTAAAACGCAAACCACCACCACCACAAACATCCGCTCGGCACTGCGGAGAGCACACCGTGCGCCTCGGCAGGACTATTTAAGGTGACGCTTGCCCTCTTTGGAATCACTAAAACCTGTCACCTCCCTTCCCCGGCACAAGATGGAATCAAATGCTCCTTCACACACAAAATGATGTACAGACACGAGCCACCTGGGGGGACGTTTCTATTGAATCATCGTCTCATCTGGGTTAGACCTTTTCATATCTCGCACTGTAGCATAATTTTCTTTAGAAGCTGAAGTGCATAAACCACGCTGTGCCCTCCAGAGAGGGCTATGCTCAGAATGTTCAAGAAAGCTTCGGCAAAAACTGCTCCGATTAATAGGAAAATATTGAAGAGCGGTGATTCATCTTTTATTTGGTTCGAATAAATTGCCTTATAGAACAGCAGAACACTTCTAATTCCAAAGTGACTCTAGTCCTGTCTTCTCTGAAAATGGATGTCTCCTGGGAGACTGTGGTATTTGAAACTCAGAGCCTTGGGATTCAGTTTATCCCTTAATAAAAACATAATCTCTTTATCCAGAAGAACACTATTATTACTGCTTGTTTAGAAATCAATTATAAGGTAGGAAAATTAAGAATTATTCCATCTAATTTGCCTCCTCATACCCCCAAACAGATTTTACTTACTCTGCTAGTTCATATCGAAACCTCCAGTTTCTGCTGTTATCGGTCACTATAAATTCTTGAAGCTGATAAAGATATTCTCTCCTCTTGTCTTCATGAAGCAACTATTTTTTAAAAATGTATATATAAATAAAAATATATAATCCCTCCAAATGACCTCAAATATACTGTTACTTACTTCAGATTACACATTTGTCATGGGCGAGAACTGTGCATTCCCTAAGGCCCCTGCTCCATCCCCCAGCGCGGCTCTGAGTCAAGGCTGCTGCTACAGACGTCAAATGTACCCCCAAATGCTTCCCACCTTTCCTCCCGGTTAGTGCATGGGCCTGTGTATTTCCAAATGCCCCCTAGCTCTTTCTTCTCTCATAATTTCCTGCCTAAAAACCCCGCATATGTGTGTGTTCAGAAGATGAAGCCACTGCTGCTTCCAGGGGGTCGGCACTGCTTGTGTGCGCCTGTACCACGAGACAAGACTCGCAAATGGTCATCAGGCACCAAAGTCCACCAAGGGCAGCTCTTGGTCGTGTGGATGTGAGCAATTAGTTTCTCTAGGTCATTTTTAAATTCCTGTTTTTATACCCATCATTCCTTTAGGGAAAAAAGAAAAAAGGCAAGAAGAGAAGCAGCAACATCTTGCAGAAAAAGCCCTTCATGCAGAACTGAGATGGGACCTCAGCTGGCTCTTCCCCTGGGTGACCCTGGGCACAGCATGCACTGCCCGGGGGCCAGGGCTCCTTCTTGCTCACAGAGCGGGCGAGGCTATACATCTACCATCCTCCATAGAATCAGAACTCAAAGGGACAGGAAGATTAGGAGGAAAGATATAAAAATATTTACCCATCACTGAAAGAACATTCACTTTAAGATTTTGGACGGCATGTTTCAATAAGGAACCCTAGACACCTGCATTTTTTTCCAGTGATACTTTACATATTCAGGATTTAAAAAAATTGCTTTGAAGAGGGGAGGTTTGTTTTTTCTTTTTAATTGTTCTTCCTACCTTTAGAAAATCATACAGGTGTTTAAGAACTCCTATTCGTACTTCATCCAGGTCCTTTAAAAAGCCATTGAAGATGGGCACCAAGTCAGCGGCCGTTAATTGATCCCCAAGAATCACAGCCAGCTCATGAATAGAGAAGGCCAGGGTGCGACGTACCTTCCACTGGTGCACAGCAGACACACACAGCACAAAACACAGGCATAATTCAATGTTATCAACAGCGCAAGTGGCATTTCTAGAGCAAAACTGATACTGCCAGGTGCTGGCCACTTAAAGCTTTATTTCTTCAGAGACCAGTAAATATGCCTTGCAGCCACATAAAATACAGGTCAGTGAGCCTTGCTGCAGCCTCCCCTCCCCTCCTAGACGACCCATGCTATATCCGTGCGTGCCTCTGAAAAGGGTGCTTTACCTGCACGTCGGAAGCCAGTGTTTCATACGTATCTTTCAGGCAGTGCCAATTTTGCCTGCCCAGGGTGAGCGCCACTCCCGGGAGACTGTAGGCACAGTGCTTGGCTATGTCAGTGTCAACAGTCTGTGCTCGAGCTGGGTCGGTCATCGACACGTACTGATCTAGCAGGGGCTGAGGGATTATATCCTGGGAAATGGGAGAGAAAGGAAACCATCATGCTTGCACGATTGCAGAATACTCATCAGAAACAAGGAATTTGGAATTAGGAGGTGAAAACAGCAAAGCAGAGATTTGAGAGGAAGAGGAGGCCTTCCTAAAGGCAACGGCTCTGGATTGGCGAGCTGCTTCTTCTGCAAGGAGTCAGTTTCAACTTGCACTGAAGTGGAGGCAATGCCCTCGCTCGTCTTTTCTAAAGGCCCCAACATTTGCTACGGTAGAGAGCAGCCTACACATCAGGGCTTGGTCAGGCTGGTGCACACGGCTGGAGAGGAGGAACTCTCTTCTCTTCTCTTCTAACTGCCCCCAACACCTCGGGCCCAGGCCCTACACTGGGATCATTACTCCTTTTTCCAGCTGATGGATAAGACTCCATCCCCTTACCTTTGTCCCTGTAAGGGCAATGGGACACAACAATTAAAAACATTTAAGAGAACTGACATAGCACAAGAAGCAAATCCACAAGACAGAACAAAGCAAAACATGGTTCAAAAAGAAGGTGTCAAAAACTTTTCAGACAAAAAAAAGCTAAATGACTTGTATAAACAGACACTAAATATTAATGTATATAGATGTCAATTTTTTCTCATATTTGACTTGCTTTATTAAAATCCTATTCTAGACTGTTCAGAAGACTTTAAACACTACCTTAGAAGTTACTTTTTTTAGGTTAGAAAGGAAAGATTACCAACAAAGACCATGAACTAAGACACGTCATTCTTATTAACGGAAGAAAAGTATCTGGTTCTCGTGGCCATTCTTAAATGTAACTGCCAGAAAAGGTAAAGTTTTGAGTTGCTTTTCTTTTCAAGGAACAAACCTGGAATTTAGATTTATTCTTCTCCAGTGGGGTGGGCTCATGCCTCTGTCCAGGCTCCGAACGGTCACGGGTTCCCTCAGAGGGTTCGCCTGGCTCCTGCAGGGTTGATCAGACATGTTACCAACTTACCCAAAAGGAGGAAGCTGTCCCACCGTTCCCCCTTCAAAGACTCCTCCTTCAATGCTAGAAATGCCTGATGCAAACCGAGAGCAGAGTGCCCCTTGAAGTGGAGGCTCTCTCCCCAGATGATAAAAAATACATTTGCATAGTCATCTAAGATATTGTATAGGTCAGTCCTTTTAATTGCCAAGGCAAATAGATTTTACACATTTTAAGACTGCTTGAGGCACTTAGAAAAGACAGGCGAACGTTGGTGAGTACCAACAACCTGAGTCTGCATTTACCATTCTTGAAGCCCCAGAGTCCCCAGTGGGGTTAACCAATGCCCTTAAGTAATATCCACATGGTTAAGGCATAGAACACTCCAGAAGGCAGGGGGAGGTTCATCAGAAATGGGGAAGCAAGCACTTCCAGCATTTCTTGGGAACTGGAGATTGTAGCAGCGCTGGGCGTCAGACAGAGGGTGGAGAAGGAGAGGAAGGCCCACTGAATCTGAGTGAAAAGACGTGGCTGATAAAGGAGTCTTTACTCAGAAAACCGCTGTCGATTTTCAGAGGTACAAACACTTCTAATGTTTGCTGATGAACCTTTCTGTTAGGGGAACAATTAAAATGAGCAACAACATTCACTGTGACACATCAGTCTCTGATCACTGATTCGCACTCACTGAGATGGACCCGACCTTCTCCTTTACCCACAACAAGGATTCCCCACGTGCACTTGAAATGTCACACTGTCTCCCAGCTTAATGGATTCTGACAAATCAGCTCAATATATGATCCAGGAAAGTCATTAATACACCAATAGACACTTCGTTTGCTCTGAGGCACGCTACCAGAACCTTCAGTTCCCGAGGTTTTCACTGAAATGTAGTGCTTAGTTTAACAGAGGACATGATAAAACAGACATATTTTGGTATGATAACCTAAGACCTCAATTTCTCCAACTTAACAAATTCACATATATTAATAAGTAATAAATCATTATTCTTCTTTCAGGAATTAATTTTATTCCAAAGTCTTCAGTGCAACTGTTACGTACAGCACTGACTCCAGGATCCAAGTTAAGGTTTAACTAAACCACCACAAGTCAAGGCAACCCACAAGGTATCGTGAGGTCACGGCCCCAGAAACCACCTGGCAGTCAAGACAGACAAGTGGGAAGAAACTGGCCCCCATTTCAGGACTGCACTGGCACACTACGGTGAGAGAGTGGAGGCACAGAAGGAGCTGGGTGACCAGCCCCCGGCCTCAGCTCCACCTCCTGCCGTCTTGTTTGAGAGAACAGTCTTCACTGTTTAAGCTTTTGATCCTTTTTTGTCTTTTTCCTTCATTTGCAACTGGAAGCAGCCTGACTGACCCCACTGGAATCAAGAGTCAGGCTGCAGATTCGAGAGCTGCAGTATCCTACCGTCAGCCAGAGGCCTGCCACACAAGCTCTTTAACATCCTTCACTTAAAAGAGCCAACTCGGAGGAATCTGTTCTTTTTTTTTTCTTTTCACTTCTGTTTATGACAAAGAAGCTCGAATAATATCACATCTCCCACCAAGGAAAATGTGGCCACACCTTTCTAGTGAACACAAGTGATTTTCGCACTCCAGTTAACAAGGGTAACAACACAAATTTTCTTGCCTAGTTTTCTAAACAAACCAACAAAATAGGATATCACCTCATTTCTTACTAATAAGAGGTAACCTTCACAAACTCTTAAACATTTTGTATTCAGGCTTTTTAGTTCTGTCTCTTGTTTTGTTTTATTGGAGCAGGCCTGGGGGTAAGGGAGGTGATAAGTTAGTTTAATTGCTAAAATCAAAGTGTAAAATATGTGAATGAAGAAACAATTGGCATTCTGACCCTGGAAACCACAAGTTTACAGAGATTATCCATCGTGGTGCATGAAAATGAGAAGGTGCCAACACGCCCATGACTTCATGACCACGGACCTGTCCCGAACTTCAATTCTCCAGTCTCACCCCTGCCTGGGAAGGGCCCCAGCCCAAGCGGTCCAAGTGCAAGTTTAGTAGGAATGAGGAAGGCATCAGAGCCTCCAGCCACAGCAAGCTAGAAAGCTTCTGGAGAGACTCAAAGTAAGAAACAACCCACAGGATTCCGCCTCACCCCCGAGGCAGAGCCCCAGTCTCACGGGGGCTGGTTCCAGACTACAGGAGAAAAGCTGGTGGGCTGCTGGCTTTTCAAAGTCTCTCCTGTGAGGAACAGCATGCCGGCACCACCACCTGAGCAACCACGTGCTAAAAGAGCACCTAAGGGACGAGGGCTGACGTGACGAGCAGTCTCTGAGGCCTCTGCCAACTTTCAATTCCGGGAGCTGCAGGAATTCACCTTCCGCCATCATGAAAAGATGTATACGATGGCTAGCAGTGGCGCAGAGCATTTCATCACACGGTTAAAGAAGCAGCTCCTGTGTCTCTGGAGCAGAGGGGAGGTCCTTGGTTTCCCCACCCTTGTTTTTATGGAGGAGAATCAGGGTTATCAATCACCTGATTGATTGGTTGTCTAGTTATCCAAAACATGACCTTAAGAATAAAATTAAATTTGCCATTTATCATCTCTGCCAGGATATATTAATAAAAGAAAATGCAGCTTTGTGATTTCTGTCACATCCTCAGTGGCTGAGAGAGAGGGCTAATACTTACTGTGCTTTGTAATATCCTGGCCACGGAGAGCTCATTCTGCGATGATGAAGCTGACAGAGCCATCTGATTGTCAGAGGCAGGGCTGGGATCAGAAAGGGACACTCCATTTAGACCTTCCGTCGGCTTGCGCTCAGGCTCATTCACAGAGTCAAGCTGTGCGGCTCTCAGTGCAGCTGATAATACCTGAACTTGAGCTGCAGGAAGACAAGTTTCAAGAATTTTAATCACTTTATTTGGTTGGCAGGGATTACTTCAGAGGAGTGTGCCCAACAAGACCGTCTACGTGTGGGTGCGCTGCCCAGTGCCCACCTTTCACACACCCGTCCCTGCGGCAGCTGTGCTCCAGAGGCCCAGAACCAGCTCTCAGTGAGCTGGGGAGATTTATGGCCATTAACTTGAACTATTCCAACTAAACGCCAGCCGTGCACAGAGCATCAAATCCGAACTCAAAAAGCCTCAGTTAGGGAAATCAGAGTTTGACTCCGTCATCTTTCACAGGAAGACAACACAATGTTACTGAATGCTGATGTCTGGGAGGTCCACCAACTTGGTGAGGGAGGTCCTGCTCCCCTATTTATAAAGTATGATGGCTGCCTTCTTTACCACACACACGCACGCACGCGTGCACAGATACCAATCCATCTACGTAGAAGCAGATGAGTAAAGATCTCGCTTACCAAGCCCCAAGGGCTACTCATTTGTTCAGTCCAGAGCATGACTGTCTGAGACCCTCCTAAAAGAATGATGACATATTTCACATACCTTTCTGTAAAAAAAAACTGCTATTTCCACATCCCCAACCTACACACACACACACACACACACTTCTTCCATCCTGTTTTCTACTAGTTAAACTCAATAGACTCCAAGATTCATTAAAATGTTTAGAGCTTATAGCTGGCTCCCCACTCTGCCCAAGGCAAGGTCTCACCTCCTCAGTGCAGCACACCAGGCCCATCCCAATGGCCCAAGTGACATTTCCAGCCAGTCAGTTCAAAATACCCAATGGGTCGTTTATTTCTGAATCTTTTGGGAGCACGGATCCCTCTGAGCTCTGATGAAAGCTGCGGGTCCTTTCTTACAAAGAAATTAAGTATGCATATACATGCAAGGTTTTACAAACAATGATTTCAGGGAACTGAAAGAACCCTCTGAAACCCATCCCTTCACTTCTCCAGATGGTGGACTCCCAGCCACCCTTTAAAGCTCATGTCAAATATCACCTGTTCTGCAAGGTCTTCTCCCAGACATTTCCTCTGTCCCCAGGAATGACCGGCTTCCTGCCCTGTGCTTCCACATCACAGCATGCCCACTCCTGTCCCAGCCCTTGCCACACCCTTCAGCAGGTGGTTGTTTATATCACCCTTGCCATCAGAGCACCAGGGCCTCAGGTGCCGGTCGTTGCTGCCCCAGCACACAGCCCTGGTCCCAGCCTTGAGATCAATGCAGCTTTAGAAACGTGTTTTCCAAAAGCAGACCTTTGTCTATAGCTATTAGAAGCGAGATGTTACATGTGCTCATTCCTTCAGCAAACATGGACTTAATTTCCTTTATAAATTTAAAGACAAAGAATAATCACAGGGCTAACTGGATTTTCATATTTCCTTTCCTGAAACCTTCACTAATCTTTGCCCGGCAACAGCAGCAAGTGTTGTTTTTTCCAATTTCCCCAACTCAAGGAAGAATACAAATATAGCACTGTTTAGAAAAAGAAGAGGCGTGATAATGGATATGGATTGCAAGGCCCGGCTCCCAGATCAGACACTCAGTGGGAGCACTAGTCATAAAATGAAAAATACCCCAAAGAAGAAGTTGTACTTTTCCTTGCCATACAAAGACAAAAACCTTAAAGTTTAGCTAAGGATTGAGCTAATAGGCTCCAAAAGGAGCACCATCCTTAGCTGTTCATAACTAGAGAGGGCATATAACACGGGACATGATGTACAGTGTCCAAGGAGCTCATAAAATTGCCACCGCTACAGATGTGCCCGAGAACGATCTGCTTTGATATTGGCACTGACTTCAGGCTTGCACGATAGCAAAACAAGGAGTCAAACCCTTGCAGGAACCTCCATAGAGAGATCCCTGATGTTCTAGCTGTGGGGAGACTGAACGAGTCTCCCTTCTCAGTGTGTGCACACAGTAAACAAAGATAAGCACAGGCACATATGCAGCAATACACAGGCCCGTGCGACACACAGCCCAGAAATAGCCCGTTTTCTCTTAAATTTCAGTGGACAGCATTTACCTTGAACATCTGGATCATTCATCATATGCTCCTGCAAACTATCAAGGACTTTTTGAATCTCGTTCCTGGCCACACAACTGTTATGCACAGTCTCAGGTCCGCTGCAGCCTTCTTCCTGTGGCCCAGCCTCACTCAGAAGCAGCTCTAAGTCCTTGCTGATGTCAGGAAGAGGAGTTCGCCAATAAAGGAAATTATTGAATACATCCTCAGGACTCTTTGGGCAGGCCCAGGAACTCAGCCCAGCGTGGCTGTGGATGGGGAGGTCGTTAATAACAGGGAGCTTCGAGAAGGCACTGGCCTCTGGGGAAAGCCTGGTCAACTCAGCTCCAGCCAAGACAGAGTCTTCCATTGGGTTTTCCATCAGGCCATTAGAAAAGCTGTTGGCATGTGAGAGATTGCTAGTCTCTGCTGATGTGCCTTCCACGGGCAGATCCGGCTGTGGCTGCACCGGCTTTGTGGAACTAGGTTAAATTGAGGAAAGCAAACTTTTAGCACTGCGTGATAACAGACTGGAAGTAAGAGGAAAACATGAGATCCACACCTTCGCAAGCCAGTCTTCCTCTCTACCTGGCCACCTGACCTCCTGTGTCTCCCAGTGCCAGAAGACGACAACTTCACAAGAGAATAAGAGGTCCAGTCAGCCCCTTTACCCCACTGGGAGCATTATGTGCATTGAAAATGCCAAACAAAAGTTCAACCAATCCCTCCATTCAAGTGGTGAACTGACCCTGGCTTCTGCTGACACACCTTCAGGAGCAAGATTTCCTGCACTTACTGCTGGTTAGTACCTCCACCAGGGGGCAGGCATCAGAAAATAAAAGGTGTCGAAGTCGCTAAGTGCCAGCTATTTGAAAACCACTTGGAAAGTCTTGATAAGGAAGATGCTGCACACAGGCCTGACATATAGCAGGAACTCAATGAATTTGAATGGAGAAGGATGGAGAGGAGGACGCACCAATCTTCGAAAGGATTTATGTAAATTACCCACTCTCACGCTCCTGTATAATACTAACAATGGGCAGACGCTTATAAACTACCTCGGATGGTCTAGTTAGTATGAACCCATCATCCTCAGAGGAAAGATATGAAAAAAATCCAAGATCAATCACTAGAATTTACTAGAAAAACAGCCTACTAATGGTGGGTCAGGAATATCACCTTTAATGTGCGTGTAATATCCTATGGCACAAAACTACATTTGGGAGACTTCACATTTTCCCTGTAAATTATCCAAAGAATTTCATTAATCAAAAAGTAAGAGAAAATTTTCTTTATAGGCTTATTTAATCTCTACTCTCAATGAATATTTTATCTAAATTTAGGAGACACAGTAGCTTCATTATTTATAACCTAGTAGTCATGTTTCAACATCACTATTGCAATTACTTTTTCCTTCTTTACATAATTAAAGCTCTAATATTCCATCTTGCCCAGAAGGTCACTGTTACTAAACTGTAGACAAGATAATTGCTAGAATTTCAGGTGGACGCTTGAGGTGACGCAGGGATCCTGGTAATTGTCCTGGTCGGAGCTCACCAGGCTGAGGAAGTGCTACCGCCACTGTCTGCACTGGACGACCCCGAGGTGAAAGTGGAGTCCAAACCCTGAGCCAGCGGTCGGATGCTCAGGGTGCCGTCTTCTCGAATATAAAGGCCGGCTCTGGAGGGGTTTGCAAAAGTAGAAATGAAGGGGCCCAGGGACTGGAAGGCAGCCTGGCGCACCTGAAACCAGAGAGAACAGCCCAGTGAGTGTGACCTCAGCCAGGGCTGATCCCAGGCTGAACAGACGGCTCATCACAGACAATTCACTGTTCACCAAATTATGTCTAAGCAGATTTATTGCTTTCTAAGGCATTCCCTAAATTCCAAAGAAACGATTTTTCAACAGAAAATGAGGAAAAATTTAGCATCATCATGTAGTTTTTATTCTTCCAGAAGATTAATTCCACATCAAATAATTCCAGACTTTATAAAGCATCTGAACAGACCCTGTTAATCATTACAGGCACGTTTATGAGAGTAACAGAAAAGGGAACAATTCACACTTACAGTTTTTCCCTTCTCAACTCTCATTTCTGTGATAGTCACTACAAATGTTAAGGTGTGTGCCATTTTCTTTTTTTTAAAGATTGGCCCTGAGCTAACATCTGTTGCCAATCTTCTTTTCTTCTTCTTCTTCTTCTTCTCCCCAAAGCCCCCCAGTACATAGCTGTATACTCTAGTTGTAGGTTCTTCTGGCTTTGCTCTGTGGGACGCCACCTCAACATGGCTTGATGAGCAGTGCTAGGTCTGCGCCCAGGATCCGGACTGACAAAACCCTGGGCCACCGAAGTAGAGCACATGAACTTAACCACTCGGCCACAGGGCAGGCCCCCTACTTTCTTAATTTGCACCAAAGCAGCTTTTGAGATTTTAGGTGCCCTAATCCCCAGTGGGTCTAAATATGCTGACCAGTTTCTGAAAAGACAAAATACACAGTCACAAGTCCAGAAGCCAAGACAAGGCCAGAAAGCTTGCTGCGGCTGCAGGCCAGCGCTGCGAGCTGCCCGCACTTACCCACCGACAGGGGTCACTGATGAGTCTGATGAAGAGAGGCGAGAGCTTGGTTCTGCGGAGCTCGGGAGATGTGCTGTAGGACACTGCCATGAAGCACTCGGCACAGGCTTTCCGCATGCCCCAAACATTATCTGAACAGAGCTCAAAAAACTTGGGGATCTACCAAAGCAAACACAAGTGTTACTCAAATGTGGTTTCCCCGAGGGAGGGCAGCACCTGTTTTATGACGTAGTTAAGGCATATCCATAAATTGATGAGAAAGAAAAGGGAAACATAAACTAGTATAAAAGCAACCATTTGAAACAAACAGAAATTATGATAAGTAGAATAAAGAAACATTTCTTTTAACTCTTAATGCTAGTAAGCGACTTGGTTAAATTTAACAAGATAATAGAGAAAACCCCCCAAAAGGCAGAATGACTGATATTCGTAATGTGAATTGCGAAGAAAAACTGTGAATCACTTTGAAACTTAGTGGATATCCCAATTAGCTCACCCACCCAGGTATCACAGATACCAAAAAGGTAACTTTTTAAATTTAAAGTATTTTCTTTTATTCTTTTTAGACAAGATTAAAATCACCAACACAGTGTGGATAACCATGTGCTTCACGGTGTCGGGAAGGCGACTGCCGCTCAGCAGATGCCCCAAAATACTCGCTCCCCTTTCCTTCCTCTCAAGAGTAAGAAAACGCTGATGAGGCTGTGGACCTACAGGGCCTCTGACTAGGCTATTTTAGCGATAGGAGTCGAACTGTTAAAAACTAATAGTAAAGTAAGTAATGCCTGTGCACAGAAATGCACACTGTGTCCAGCGGCACACGACTATGAGCCTGGACACGGAGCTGCTGTGAATTCACCTGCAGGCTCCCTTCAGCAGGCCTCGGGCAGACCACAAGCGTGTCGTACTGTGAGCTCTCCGTTAAACCAGCTGTCACATCTTACTGGTTCCCTCATTAATACATGAGAGAACTATAAAATCTTTGACACAAGTTCATTTTATATCTGTATGAAGGTCATGATTACATCCTCTTTTAAAATTTATCCTTTAAAGATAATGCTTTGTTTGTAATATCCTAATGTAAAATAATCAGCCGAAAAGCTCCACGAATGGGAGTATATGATCAAGGAAAATACCCGCCTACAGAAAGGTTAACATGCTGGTCTCAGCTGTTCCTCATGCAGACACGTTACGCGGATGGTGTCGCTCCCTGTATATTCAAAGCGACAGCCCACTAAAAATACTTTTTGGTTCGAACTCTGTTGACATGGCTTATACTTTAAATAAAATTAAACAAGCTTTTGAACTTCAATTTCAAAATCAGTTCAAAGACTATACTTCCAACCATACAGCTAGCATATCCTGTCAGATAAAAGTGGCAAGTGCGTATTCAGCATAGTTCTCTATGTGCCAGGTCTGGGGCAGGCACTGGAGAAACAAGGATGAACACGATAGGGTAAAGGTCCCCTGTCAGCAAAACTATAATGAGGTGTGGGAAGGACAAACAAGCACTCTGAACAAATGATGTGGGAATGCTGAGAAGGGAGAAATTAATTCTTTCTGACACAGTGGGGAGGTGAGTCTAGACAAGGAAAGACCTGGACAGAGGCCTATGCACATGCAAGCTGGGTGTGAAGTGTCAGCAGGGTCCACCAGGTAGTCAGGAGCCTGGAAGGAGAGGGGCAGCAATGAGCAGAGGCGTGAAGAGGTGAAGGAGCAGAAAGCCTCAAGGGAGCTGAAAAGTCACCTGGCCACCTAGCTGTGCCTCAGAATCTCAAGGGAATTCATCAAAAATACAGACCCTCGGGCCCTCCCTCCTACCCATGATTCAGATGCACAGCCAAGGGGAGACCCGCCCAGGCCAGGCCGTGTGTGGTCTGAGGAAGGAGACTGGAAGTGGCGAGGCAGGGAGGTACTTGTGAAGGTGCCTGAAAGGCCAATAAGTCAAGAAGGGAGAAAGTGGCCTAGACAGTGAGAAGAGACTGGAGGAAGTGACCAGTGAGGAAGCAACAGCAGACGTCCAGAGGAAAGAGCACTGGGGCTGCTTCTGCTCCGTCCCACAGACCAGTGCCTAAAGCTTAGGAGAAACATTAGCTTCAGAAGTCAAGAACTTTGAAATTGATGAATGCAAAACTGAGCTGCCATTCCAAAGTAACAGACTCATAAATACAAAACTTTAGAACTGATTTTAAAAGCGCCCTAAGAAGTACATCAGCGATTACAATTGGCAAAACTACACATACCAAAAATTTCTCAGTGGCTTCTTGTCCAACGGCGTGACAAATATCACCAAAATTTGCAGCACATACCTTAAAAAGGCAAAAGGCATACCCATTATTCTCAGCTTTCTTTTTGTCTTAACGAATTGCGAAACTAACAAGCAGGAACTTCGAGAGCAATTACTCCTCTAGTCAGGCAGCTAACAAGCACTCACCGAGCCCTGCGCCCACACGGCACCACCCAGGTGCCTCTGATGCACTGGAAACAGAAGATTTACAATAGACTACCAAACTCTAGGTCTTTCTGGCTCCTAATTGATCTCAATACATAATGCATTTGTTAGCAATAGAGCAAAAGAGACCCTTAATATTCTCTGCATGGCAAATGAGACCTATCTTCTCGCCAATGCGTCATAAGGAGAGACGAAAAGGAAGACGGCCAGTTACAGGAGGAAGAGGGGGCTGTTCAGGAAGGGGTGATAATGGCCTTCAAAAGGAAGAATTTGACAACCAAGTGATAAGCAACTAAAAGGGAAGGGGGAAGGCGGGGTTGAAGCTGGAAGTTATAGCAAAGATAAGAGGGTTCTGGAGCAAATCACCCCAGATAATGAAAGACCTGCACGGCTGAGCAACAGCATCTAACAACCAGCCAGCAGGGCTGTAGCTCCTCCTCCAGCGCCTGAGCGCACCAGGTTCACTTGCACAGAACCTCACCTCCAGGTCCCCACACACGCCCTAATTGCAGGAAAGCTGGCAACACTCTGCTGGTGTTTTCCTTACACAGATTATGCCGGCCTCATTTTTCTTCCAGACTGTGTCTACTGAGGAAGTCCAGAAACTTTAAAGGAACCAATTTTGAGTTTTTTAACTTTTTTAACTTTTCACGTTTTGAAACTATATGTTCCCACCTTCCGAACTTGAAAGAGTTTCCCATCACCACACAATTCACAGAATCGAGGAAGCAGCAGGCGTTCAACTGTGCTCTTGCTCAGCACTGAAGCCAGTCTGCAGATTATCTACAAATAACCAGAAAATTAGAGTCACTTGAAATACCAAAGCATGTATCGCACCTATCGCTAACTGGATTCCAAAAGCTAATATTCAAAATATTGCCAACATTCCCAAGAAGTAAAAATAGAGAACACCTTATTCTGAGTTTTGTCAAGTTATCTCATCAATAGAAGGCCAAATATTTCTCAGGTTTTACTCAGATAAGGGTTTGTCTGTAGCTCAAGAGTTGCCATGTGCCAGGTCCCCACTATGTGCCCAACACATAAATGAACAATTTATGCATATTAACTCATTTTACCTTCCCCAAACCCTATGGGCATGGGTATTATTTGTCCTCATTTTTCCAGAAGAAGAAACTAATGCTCAAAGAGGTTAAGTAATGCGACCAAAACCAAGTGGTGGTGCAAAGGGACATACAGTAATAGATGGACAAGGTATAAAAAATGACTTGTAGGCACTGGAGAGTGACCAAAGCTGGTGGAAATGAAAGGAGAGCAGATCCTCGAGAGAAGGGAACCTCAGTGGGTACACTGCTGCTGCTTTTTGCCCAGGGGCACTCCCACATTCTGCATGGCTAGGCAGGGTAGCTGGACCTCACGGAAAAGCTACAGTTTTACTAGCTTGAGAAGTCAGAGAAGAGAGACTGAGCTTGCAAGAGCAGTTGGAAAGTGAGGGCAGAAATCCTAAGAAGGAAGGAGGGAGCTAAAGAAGGGAGAGCCCCCAAATCTGTGATTAAACCCTACTCTAATCCTTGGCTGATCTTGGAACCATACATGCATGGGGGAAATGGTAAGATTCACAGAGAAAAGTAATAGCTTGAAGGGAAAAAACTGAGTGGTTTCAGCTATTGACTACTGCAGGGGAAAAAGAATCTGAACTGGTGGCTAAAACAAAGTCAACAGTCTTCAGAGGAAAATAACAGGATCCAGAGTTTCTACAATGTTTCACCAAGAAGATACAATAAATAATTTAAAAATTCATAGACATGAGAAGAAATAGGAAAACGTTACCCATATTCAAGAAAAATATCAGTCAGGAGAAATAAATCCACAGAAGATCCAGACGTTAGAATCAGCAGACTTTAAAAGGACTTTAACACAGGTATTACAAATATGCTCAAGGACTAAAAGGAAAATAGGGTCATAACAAATGAACAGATAGGAGATCTCATCAAAAAAATGGAAACTATAGAAAAGAACCAAGACTTCTGGTAATAAAGCAGCAGCTTCATTAGACTTACTCTCTTACAGATAACAATTACAGGATCTTTAAAAAAACAACCATTTGAGAGCACTGGAGAGCAACCAAAAGGCAGAAACTGGAGAGGAGGCTATCCTTAGAAGATGAACAGCAAGTGGAGAGATTTGCAAGTAAAGTCCAAAATCTGTGTATACAATTTGCTGAGATATTTGGCTGACTGCTAAACTACACATGGGTGGGGGAGATCTCAGGAGATCCAGCAGAAAAGCAGCAGCCAGAAACTAAACCACCTGAGCAGAGATGTTAGCTGCTGCTCACCACAAAGGAGACAGCTGGGAGTTGGAGATCAGACAAGATAACTGCCTGCTACACACAAAAAAATCACTTTAGAGAAGCAAAACACTGGCAGTGTATTATTTACAATGTCTGGTGTTCAATTAAAAATAACTACCTATGTGTTGACAGGAAAATGTGACCCACAATAAAGAAAAAAAGCAGTCAATGGAAATCAACACCAAAATGATCTGAATGTCATAACCACCAGACAAGGACTTTAAAGGAGCTGTTATACATCTATTCAAGGATTAGAAGGAAAATTTATGCATAAAGAAGGACATATAGGAAATCTCTATATCACAGAGATGCAGAAAATTAAAAAGGCCAAAATATTATAGAGATGAAAAGCATAATAACTGAAATAAAAAGTTTAATGGACAGGCTTAACAGCAAACTGGAGGTGACAAAAAGTCACTGAACTTAAAGATAGATCAATAAAAATGATCAAATCTGAACATCAGAGAGAAAAATTACTTTAAAAAACCCTCAAAGATCTGCAGGACAATATTAAGTGTTTAACTTTGTGTAATCTAAGTACCAGACTGAAAGGAGAAAGAGAGAATGGCACAGAAAAAAGCACTTGAAAGAACAATAGCCAAAAATTTCCCAAATTAGGTGAAGGGCAGCAACACACAAATCCAAGGACTTCAATGAACACAAAGTGGGATAAGCATTCATTGTGCAAAGACAAAGAGGAGAGCCTCGACAGCAGCCAGAGAAAAAGGATACTTTATACACAGGAGTACATCTGCAAGACAGCTGACTTCTCCAGAAGACAACAGGGTGAAACCCTTAAAGGGCTGCAAGAAAAACAAAAAGAAACCCGTCAAGCCACAGTGCTACAGTCAGCAAAACCATCATTCAAAAATGAAGGCAAAATAAACACATTTTCAGATCAAAACAGAGATTTCATTATCAGCCAACCAAATTAAAAAAAAGTACTGAAGGAAGTTTTTTAGGCTGAAGGAAAATGATACTAGATGGAAACTCAGATCCAGGAAAAGAAGGAAGAGCACCAAAAAGGGCAAAAATGTGGGTATAAAAGGCTATATACTTTTTTCTCTTCTCTTGGTTTCTTCAAAAGATATCATTGTTTAAATCAAAAATTATAACAGCATATTTCCAGGTTCATAATGTAATGTGTTATGTCACAGCACATACAAAAACACAACACAACAAGCACAAAGGAGGAGAGGGAGAGCGTGGAACTACACTGTTGCAAGGTGCTATATTTTCTGAAAATCCTCGATAGAAAAATTAAAAAGCAATTAGCCCAAAGGAAGGCAGGAAAGAACTAACAGAGGAACAAAAACAGATGAGACAAATGGAAAAAAAGTAACAAAATAGCAGCATTAAATCCAAATATAATCAATAATTACATTAAACATAAATGGACTAACATTCCAATTAAAAGGCAGAAACTGTCAGACTGGATATAAAAGCAAAACCCAACTCTATGCTAATGAAAGCAAGAACACTTTAAATGTAAAGACATGAGGTTGACAGTGAAAGGATATAAACAAATCTACTATGACAAACAAAAAGGACAGGAATGCTGGAGTGGTAACAGTAACATCACAGTAGACTATCAACCACATATTACTATCAGAGACAAAGTCATTTCTTAATAAAAGGGTCAATACATCAGAAAGATATATACATTAAATGTGTGGCTTTAAATGCTCAAAATGGAAAAGAAAGTAGCCTTAAAAATATTGTTTCCTCCTTTAGAAGCCAGAAAAATACAAGCAAGTTGAAGAATTAAGGGAATAATAAAGCGTAGCAATCGATGAAAAAGAAAACAAGCAATAAAGAAACTGACAAAGCCAAAAATTGGTTCTTTGGAAATATTAATAAAACTGACAAGAGACTAAAAAGATAGCAAGACTGATTAAGAAAGACCAAAAAGAGAAAACACAAGTTACCAATATCATAAATGACAGGGGATAACACTACAGATCTCACAGGAATTAAACGGATAAAACAATATTGTTGGGGCCGGCCTGGTGGCAAAGTGGTTAAGTTGATGCACTCCACATGAGCAGCCCCGGGTTCATGGGTTTGGATCCCAGGCATGGACTGACACACTGTTCATCAAGCCACACTGTGGTGGTGTCCCACATACAAAATAAAGGAAGACTGGCACAGATGTTAGCTCAGAGTCAATCTTCCCCAAGTAAAAAGAAGAGGGTTGGCAGCAGATGCTAGCTCGGGGATACTCTTCCTCACCAAAAAAAAATAATATTTAAACAAACTTATCCTAATACATTTAACAACTTAGATGAAATTAATAAATTCCCTAAAATACACAACTTATTCAATGACACAGATGAAATAACAAATCTGAGTAGCCCCATATCTGAATTGAATCGGTTATCAAAAACCATCTCACAAAGAAAACTCTAGGACCAGCGGTCTTACTGGTGAATTCTAACAAATGTTTAAGGGAAAAATAACAACAGTCTTAAACAAAATCTTTCAGAAAATAGCAGAGAGTACTTCCCAACTCATTTTTTGAGGCCAGAATAACCCAGATTCTAAAACCTGACAAAAACATAATAGGGAAAAAAAAAACTGCCTACAATAGTCTTCTTGAATACAGATGTGAAAATTACCAACCAAATGTTAGCAAATAATGAAGAGAACACTCTTCACAGTAGAATGTCAACTAGAATCATCAATGGACACCAATACGAGTGGGTGAAAATTCAACAAAAAGCATCCTTACATAGTTTCAAAGTAACTCCCCTTAATACTTCCTGAGGGGAAAAGCAGTACCCAGAAACTCAGCAGACACCGACCCTATCTACTAAGTCATGAGTTAATAGCACCAAGATCAGGAGAAGCTGAAGCCTTGGGCCTCCTACTGTGAAACATAAGAATACATTACTTCTGTGATATCCTGCCGAAAACGCAGAGCCTGATCTAATCATGAGAGAACATCAGACTAACACAAAGAACTGCCCTCTCCTCTTTCAACGTGGTAACGTCGCAAAATTCGAGGAAAGATTCAAGGCCTGTTCCAGACTAAAGGAGGCAGAGAGAGATGATGATTCAGTGCAATGTGTGATCCTGGACAAATGACAACATCTGAACAGGAACTGCAGATAAGATATTAGCACTGTATCAGTTACATTTCCTGATTTTGACCAATGTACTAAGGTTGTTTAAAAGAGAATTCCTTGTTTTTACGAAATAAACACTGAAGTATATAGGAGTAAAGGGGCACAATGTCTCCAATTTACTCTCAAATGGCTCAGAAAAATATATATACATATGTGTATGTATATATCTGTGTGTGTGTGTGTGTCTGTGCGCACGTGCACACGTGTGTAGAAAGAGGGAAAATATGATAAAACACATGGAGCTAAATATAAGCTACTGGAGAATCTGGATACAGGTATCAGTTCATTCCTGCAACTTTTCTACAAGTTTGAAATTAAAAACAAATTAAAAATCACCTCCCCCAAATTTTTAAAGAACTCTCCCACTCCCCCCCAAAAAGGAAAAAGAAAAGGAGGGAAAGAAGGGAGGGAGGGAGGGCTTTCCTGTCTCTGCAGGCTGCTCTTCCCACTACTCAGCACTGCCCTTTTACAGCAGAAAAAGGTCCAGGGTTAGCAGTGCACCCTCCATTGCATTTGGAATCTGCACACAGCTGACAAGAGGGCAAAGAAAACCAACCAGAGTAGGGGAAGGGGAAATGATCCCCACAACACGAATGAGGAAAAGTCTTCCAAACTTAGAGGACACATATTTCTGATCTGATGCTGGGCAGAGCTGTGTACTGTGACAGCCACAATAAATGAGGACACAAGGCCTCCGTATCCAGGGCAACAGGCAACTAAAGATTAGTGCCCGGTATCTCCATCCACCCCTGTCCATCTGCCACACCCACATGACCTTATTACCAGCCATATAAGACAAATTCAGATTCATTAAAAGTCAGCACACCAAGTGACAAGAAATGATATTCCTGTGGCCCTGGGAACCACTTGTATGGAATGACGATCTTCACTTAGTTGCTTGGAGCCCACTATTCTTTATAGCACATAACCACAACATTCTTTTTAAATAAATGCACAAATAAAAATGAGCTTAAAAAGAGGAATGACGACAAAAAATGAGGAAGCCTTAATGTGAAAACGTGTTGGGGGAGAAAAATAGGCTTCTGACAATTAGTTATAATCTCAGAATGCTAATGGCCTTCCTGCAAGCAAGAGGAATTATAATTGGTCTCCAGTGGCCTGTTTATGCTGTCTAGATATAATTACAGGATACAGCACTTCCAGTTTTTACCGATCCATTCATTCAACAACCAGCATTTATTCAGTACTGACTCTGGGCCTGGCACTGTGCTGGGTGCCGTAGCAGAATGACAGCTGTGTTTAAGAAGCTCACCATTTTGAAGGAGAAATAAACAAACAAACCAAGTTCACAATTCAATCGCTAAATGATAGAGACAGATATGAACTAAGCCTTCTGACGCAGGAAGGAAGAAGACACTCCTGTTGCCTGGCATATCTAGAAAGACTTCACAAAACAAAATGCATATGTATGTGAGAAACCAGGATGGAGGAAACCAACATGTAATTGGTACTGCATAACTCAATTTTAAAATGCCCAGGACATATCTAGTTGGCTATCTTTGATTTTCCTAATCATGTATGCGCCGGGCTTGCTAGCATCAGAATCAAATGATTGTAACTTCCAGTGAGAATGAAAAGTCTAATGAATAGATGCACATTTTGTCTATGGAGGCGGGCAGTTTCCTCAGAGAGAGAAGCAATTCCTTCAAAACAAAACGGCACTGTTCTGAGAGTGTGTGTGTTTATGTACATACAGATGTAGCAATATTCACACCATATGGCTGCAAAGACAGCCCCAAAACACAAGGGCATTGGAGCAGCACAATTTGCTTCTTTTCTCACCTACGACCTCCTCACAAGTACACGTCGATGCCTGCAGTGTTTGGTGTGTCACTCACAGACCAGCTAAATGAGACCCTGCCCTCCTTGGGGAGCTCAGCAAATCACAAATGTGGCCGTCTTTTCCTTGAAGAATGAAATCCACTCTCTACCCATATTGTCATTTCCTAGCTAAAAAGAAAACAGCACCCTCTGTGCTCTGCAACTCTGGATGCCCAAGGAGTGAGTCCCTTCCAAGACCCCTTGGCCTGCAGGCTCCAAGGAAAGAAGACAGAGCATCTTCTGAATCTGACCAAAGCACGCACGGGCCAGACAAGGCTCCCAATCCTGCTTCCATCAGGGGTCCACAGGCAGAGAAGGGGAGCTCCTCCAGAAATACCCCGACACACAGGTGTGCCTTGGCCTGGGGAGGGTTCAAGACCACTTTGCTTCTCTGCAGCCACATTTGAAAGCTTATACACTCAAGTAATTACATCAGCAACTCACTTTGAATGAAAAACACAATCGATGTGAACTAATTTGTTCTGCAAGTGATTTGTGGAGAGAGCTTTTTGAAGGCTTGTTATATTTTCCAAATATTTTCACCAAAAAAAAAGGAGAAGAAGAAGAATATTGCTGACAAGAATGGAGTGGTTGGAAAGGAAACAAAATAAAAATCATGCAAAAATGACTTGAGCATTATTTGTCATAGGATTATCAGTCTTTAGTGATAAGATATTTGGTTGTCAGCTGTAACCTTGGAAACTCGCCTGCCCAACTTTCAAACAAAAAAAAGATCTAGTTGGCAAAGTTCACTGCTCAGCTGCCAAATACCCCAGCTAAATGATATTATCCAGGTTCATTTTGCAAAATAAATTTAATTTCTTACAGAGAAATTTGAAATTTATAAAAGAACCCTGGAGAATTTGAATTTTAATAATCAATTATTCTTCAGCCTGATTCATCTTATAAACATATGGAATATGCAAAAATTAAATTAGTTTAAAAAGCCAGACCTTTAACTCATAGTTGAAGAAAGCTTTTACATAAATGAAGAATAATTGCCAAATGTTCTGATGCTGTAATACAATCTTTTAGCTCTGTGGTGTATGTTTCTGCACTTTGAAAAAGAAAATTCCTTTCTCTACCATCATTTTTTTCCAACCAAGAAAACAACTATCTTCTATATCTTACTGTACTCATAATTAAGGCTTATGATTTTTTAAATCTTTATGCACGATTTATCCTGAAATGGTAGAATACTCCTGGACTCCTACTTCTGGACACAAATGGAAAGGGCTGTGCTGCGCAGCATCACCTGCACAGGTAGGTGGAGGCGGCAGCCGCACCAGCAAACAAGGGGGCCCTGGGCAGCCTCCCCCTGAGCCACAGAGAAGGCCTTAGGACAAGCTGGGGAGTCCTGGTCTAAGGGCGACACGTGAAAGCCAGCACTGGCTCATCAACTGCCAGTTTGTGAACAAGGGTCCCAGAAGCAAGTAGAAAGTCCTTGATTGTACGATCATTGCACAACAAGGACAGAACCTTACAAACCCAAGGACGTTGCAAAATTGACTATTAAAAGTAGAAGAAATTTAGGTTTTATACTATTCCTTTAATTGTATACCTTAACTGACATGAGAACAAATACCTCCACACAGTATTTCCCACACTGCTGTAAACATTTTGCCCATGTCTACGTTCGTCAGAGTGATGCTTTCATATTTGCCGACATACCTGCTTTAGACTCGTCCTAATCTATAAAATAGACACACGTGTCTACTAAATTTTTTTTAATTGTCCAAGCACCACCTAAAATCATCTTCCATACCAGCCTGGGTTCCTTACTTTGGGAAACAAGGTCCATGATTCAAGTAGGTTCAAGGATTTACCTATAAATCTCAGCATCTTGCCCAGCAGAAGTCTAACCCAGCTGCCACAACTCTACCCGAATCACTCCAATTTCCCAAGCTCTGCCTTCATGAGACAATTGGGGACATAAGGAGAATCACTTCCAAACACGCTCAGATCTGAACCATGAACTTTCTCTGACCGAGGTCAAGTCACCAGCCACCTTGCTTATGGGAACAGTGCTGGCCAACATCGAGCGCATGTGATACTTCAAGTCACTCACACGCCAAGCTATGGGGCAGTCCCCCAAGGTGCGCGGCTGTCATTGCCGGAAAGACTCACGTTCACAGCCTCTGCTTTATATTCATCATCACTGTCCGGGGCAGAGAGCGCCAGCAGGATTGGACACACTTTGTTTTCAATATCATGCTGGAAAATGAGATCTTGTTCCAAAAGAATCAAGAGCACTTCCTGACTTGATTTTCTAACCTAGAAGAGGAAAAACGGCAAAAGGTGAAATACAGAAGCAAGGTGCTGTCAGGATCAAGAGCAAACTCCTCCAGCAGAGCGCTAAGCTGGCCCTGCCTCCCCAGCCCTGCGGCGCACGTGAACCACACAGGTCTCGGGCCCTCTGGTCGCACTTCCTTCCTGAGGCCTTAGAACATGCCGCTTCCTCTGCCTGACTGACTCTTACCATTCCTCTGCTCTCAGGCCAAGCATCCCTTTGCCCTGAGCCCAGTCAGATCAGGTCCCCCAGCTGCATGCTAACAGTGCCCTGCACTCTTCCTGCACAACTCCCATTCCAGGTTTCTACACATACACACACACACATCTTTTTTTTTCTGTATGATTACACATTGCCATCTGTCTTCCCCACTGCCAAGAGTGAACCTTGAGGGTGGGTCCCATACCTAATTTGTCCTTTGTCCTTCCGTGCACCCTCAGGACCTGGCCACATATGGACAACACAGAGCGCATCTTCCCTCCACAGGCACAGGGATTGGAAAACACAGTGCCATCCTCCAGCTGCTTTGTAAAACCCCAGCACACCACACCCGGGCATGAATTATGGATGCTGCAATAGAAGGCAGCAGGGCAGGGGCCCAGAGAAGAATCCCCACAAGGTGGGACACAGAAAACAAAGACTCCTGAGTCCACAGAAGAGGAAGGTTGAGGACCTGTTTGTTCTTCGCAGTCTGCATGGGGTGAGCAAGCACTAGAGCTCAGAGGGATCCTCAGAAGCTGGAGAGAGACCATCTTTGGGGAAATGAAAGCACAGGAAATTCCAATTTATAGAGCAAGTAATGAAATATGCAGCTCATCACAGGGATGGTAAGGCAAGAAAATCGCAATGGGACCCAGAAGTGTGTAGATAGAGTCGCAGATGATTAGCGGATAGCAGGTGATCAAAGACGGCTAGCCCGGGAGACTGAAGCCACGAAGGCAACCCCACATTAAAGATTCCGAACAGCTAACAGGATGAAAACAGTATTTTAGAAAGATTATTCCAGTAGTAGTGTTCCAAGCAAACTGGAGGTGATGAAAGACTGAGGGCAGAAAAGTCAGCAAAGGAGCTATTCCAACAATCCCAGTGGAGGGGGCGAAGAGAGAAAAGGCGCTGCCCTGGCACAGGGGACAGGACTTGCTGCCCAACTACAAGCAGCAAAAGCCCCCAACAACTCTGAGCTGTCACTCACTGAGTGTCTGACACATGCCAGGAGCAGAGAACACGAGAGGAGCACAGACCAGAAGAGCCAGACCCACCAGCCACCTCACTACCTGACCCAATCCCAGGATGGCCGAGAATGCCAGAAGGCAGCAGCGCTGGGGGGGACGCTCCAAGCAGGGAGGGGAAGCCTTGAGCAGACGTGGAGCCAGATGTCGAAGGCAGTCAGAAACCTGCCAAGAGTGGCAGAAGGGTGGCCCCCAAAAGTTAGGTCCATGTCAAATCCTTGGAATCTCAGCATGTGGCCTTCTCTGGAAAAACAGTCTTTGCAGACGTGATTAAGTTAAGGATCTTGGAAGCATTCAGGATTATCAGGGTGGGCCCTAAATACAATCACAAGTGTCCTCATAAGAGAACGGCAAGAGGAGAAGACAGAAGAGGAGGAGGTCATGTGAAGAAAGAGGCAGAAACTGGAGTGATGCAGCCACAAGCCAAGGAAGCCGGGAGCCACCAGTAGCTGAAAGAGGCCAGGAAGGGATTCTAGCCTGGGGACTCCAGAGTGAGCGCAATCCAGACAACCCCTTGATTTTCAACTTCTGGCCTCCAGAACTGTGAGAGAATAAATTTCTGTCATTTTAAGCCACCCAGTGAGTGGTACTTTGTTATGGCAGCCCCAGGACACTAATACACCAAGCGATGCTCATACACCAGCATGCTCAGAGATACAGAGAGGTGAAGCCTGGAGACGTGTGAGAAGAACGGACGGCAGCATGGCGGAGTGGTGGGGCGGGAGGGTGGAGGGCCAGCCGAGGTCGGAGTAGGAAAGGTTTTCAGTGCACCACCAAGACCTCCGGTGCACTGGGGAGCCCCCAGGGTTGCAAAGCAGAGTGACAAGATCAGACATGGATTCACTGAGGGTGACAGTTTAGAAACCTCAAATGGTTCTGAAAGCTGAGAGAGCAGGTGAGGGGCTCCCAGGCAGAGAAGCTTCCAGCTTTGACCCAAGCATGGATTTGGGGGGTAGAGGACAGGAAGCAGAGGGGCAGGGGGCCGGTGGCGTAGAGGTTAAGTTCACACGTTCCACTTTGGCAGCCCAGGGTTCACCAGTTCAGATCCCGGCTGTGGACATGGCACTACGTGGCAAGCCATGCTGTGACAGGCATCCCACATATACAGCAGAGGAAGATGGGCATGGATGTTAGCTCAGGGCCAGTCTTCCTCAGCAAAAAGAGGAGGATTGGCAGCAGATATTAGCTCAGGGCTAATCTTCCCCACAAAAAAAAAAAAAAAAGAAAGAAAGCAGAGGGGCAGGTTTGAAAGACACTGCGGAAGAGAGTTGAGTGTGTCACTGAAGACGATTATAGAAAATCAAAGTTGACTCTGGGGTCTTGGCCTCAGGCCACCATTAACCAGATGGAGAAAATGGAAGGAGAACCAAGAGTGAGGGTAGGGAGAGGTGCAGGCGCTGGAGAGTCTGAGCTCCATGCGACACGGTAGATCTCCAGGGAGAGCCACTCCTGGGCTGCGAAGATAGAGGTCAGCAACTCACAGACTCCAGAGACCCAGGTGAAGGCCAGTAGTCTGGTGTTCCCATGCACGTGGATGCCCCTAGGCCCATGGAAGCAGATGAGACCATTGAGGGGATCCTGGCACCATGAGAAAAAGACCAGAAAACACCCTGAAGGGCAGGCAAGGACCAGGGCTAGTGACAGAGACCAGGGAAGACGCAGGCATGAAGGAAGGGAAGCGGCTGAGAGGACACGTAAGCACGCAACACGTGAGACTGCAGTGGTTGGAACACTGCGCCCTCATCGGCATTCTGCAATTACTAGCTGGGCCACTTTGGACAAGGGACTTAGCCTCTCTGAGCCTCCATTTCTTCATCTGTAAAGTGGACACTAGGAGGACCCATCTCACAGGGTGGCTGCAGGGATGAAACGACCTAATCTACGTAAAGGTCTTAGAACACTGTCAGGGGCACAGTAAGCCCCAAGTAAATGCTGACTGTTATTGTTACTGAGGTCGTATTATTAGAAGCCAAGGGAAGGAAGGTTCAGACAATCCCAGTCCAGATCTGCCTGATGATGAGCTCCAGGAGAAACAGAGAACATGTCCTGGTCACCTTTTCATCTCCATTGCCAGGGTAAGGCAACATTACCCTAGTGGGCATCCAAGAAGGGTTTCTTCGAAAAGCTAAAAGTAGTTAACAGTGACATGGTGCAAATGGATCAAGCAAAGGAGTAAAAAGAAGAGAAGACACCGGATAGATAAATAAATTGTGGGAAAAATATAAATGCAATACCATAAACAGTTAAAATGAGTGACCAAGAGCTCTCTGCATCAATGTGGACAGATCTTAAAAACGGAGGAATAAAAGCAAGCGGCAGAATGGAGAGTACAGTCTGACACCATTTCTCTAAGGCTTTAAAGCACCCAAAACAAGACACTCTCTTCTTCAGGGCCACTCACGTAAGTGGTGTGACTATAAACCCTGGATGGGCAGCGACACACCAAGTGCAGGATGGCAGTTTCTGACGAAGGGGACGAAGGGAGAAGAGGGTGGCGAGAAGGGGCACAGAGCAGTTTCAACCATACGCATAACCCAGAAATAAAAACAAAAAAGCTCGAAGCAAAACTGCACCACGCAAACATTTGCTGAATATAAGCAGTAGATACACGGGTCTTTACTACACAAACCTCTTGTGTGATTAAAATATCTCAGGATAGTTTAAAAACTGAAACTATCTTTGAAAAAACAAAAACATTGGATTTCACACTGAGATTAGTTAAGTCCGGGGCCAGATACCGTCACCTGGCTGTGGGGGGCATCGGCTGCAGGGCACCAGGGGCTTACACCTGAAAGGGAGCCCATGTAGGGGCTGAGGCTGCACAGAGTCCTCTCCTCCTGCAAGAAGCTTGGCCTCAGGGAAAGGAGTGGTGGGGAACTCAGGGTCAAGGCCAGGGAACAGAAAGAGGAGACTTAGGCATGATTGTAATTGAAAGAGAAAAGCCAATGAGAGACACTGGAAAAATAAGCAAAAACGTAAGGAGACAGGACCAAAGAAGGAAATGAAGACCTCAGACTTAAGGCAGTGAGACATCCATTCCCTTGAGACAGAAGGCAAGTAGCTTAGGACCACTGAAGAAATGTGGCTACATTACCAAATGGAGAGTTTACAGCCAATTTAGTTCTACAAATCTTTACTAAAAATATACCAGGTACCAGACCATGTGCTAGGTCACAGAGATAAATAAAATAAGATCTAGTTCCTACAGTCAGGGGCTCAGAGCCCAGAATAGGAGAGAAACTATTGGGTACAATATCCAGTAGAGCCTGGGCAATCCCAAAGCATACAACAGATGAACCTCATGAAATGGGACCTGACACCCTGCGCTCCTTCTCCAGCTCAGCAGCTCCCAACACACATGCCTATACTTCTCTGCACCTCGGGTTCCTCACCTCTGAAACAAGGATGAATTAACAAGCATACCCATCCTTCACAAGGTGGTCGAGAGTAAATAAAATAATCCATGCCAATCCTGGAGCATGGCATGTCACACAGTGAGCTCAAGAAATGGCAGCTGTTAGCAGTAGTAGTAGTCACAGTAATAATATTGATACCATGCCCGATTTTGTGAATTGCATACCTCACAAGTCACTGCATGTTCAATGGCCATGAAAAGTACCTGATGACGAATAGAGAAAGACAAGCTGTCCTGAGATGCAGATGCTGAGTAGGACCTGGAATACCCATTCCTACATGCAAAAAAATCTGCATCTTTATCGAATTAAGAATCCTAACTCACTGGGGACCTTCAGGCACTCCCAGCACCCAAGAGTGTGGATATCTGGAAGGGTTGGCATCTGTTAAAGTGAGGTAGAGACTGACAGGACTAAGAGAGAAGGGGCATTCAGAAGGAGCAAGGAGGTCAGCATCAGCAGAATGACAGGAACTGGGCTGATGCCTGTAGTGTCAATGGCGGGATGGGGACAGGTAGCCCAACCAGGAGTCTGGGATTTGTCTCATGGCATTAAAGAGTCCAAAGAACGTTCAGTAAGATATGACTTCATCATATTTCTGTGTTTAAAGACGACAGGATTGGCGAAGGGGGTGTACTCAAGGGGTTACGTTTTTATTATAGAAACAAAAGAGACATGGCGTGGTCTAACTGGATGCAGGAGGTGAAAGAAGGAAGGATTTTGATGGTTCCCAGGTTGTGGCTCCGGGGAACTGAACAAAGGAGATGGTGGTTCCATTCATTGGAAGAGCGGATGAAGACTGAAGGCCTCCATTTTCTCTGTGAAGTAAAAGGCAAGGTCACCTGCTTGGTGCGAGACAGGGTGAGGTGAAGAGGCTTGATCAAAGTGGCAAAGGTCTCAAAGAGCTGCCAAGGATAATGTGAAAAGCAGCTGATGAGGGACGAGTAAAAGGATTGCCAAGCAGCGCTGCAAGTCCTGCTGTGATTGGAATCCATAAATTTGCAACGGCACCAATCAATGCATGATGGGACTCCCCGCACCAAGCTCAGCAACCTGGGATGGAGGAGCCCGTGGGCTGGGGATGGGCAGGTAGAGCCAGTGTGGTGGAAGCACTGTCAAAAGGATAAAAAATGCAGGGTGGGGACGGGCCTGAAATGGTGGGATGATAAAGGCAGCAGCTGAGGGAGAACAGGAAGTAAAGGCAGGAGGACAATGGGAGGCAGGGAACCAGAGTCCTCCAGGGCAGGAAGGCTCAGGGTGGTGGGACAGAAGGAAGGATGGCAAGTTGTGGTGACAGAGGGGAAGGTTATCTTTGGGATTTCAGAGCTAAGACAGTTCTGGAGACCCCAGGGGAGGAGGAGTGACAGCAGGAGCGGGGAGCAGCGGGGATGGCTGTTGAAGTGCATCTGCAGCACGGGCTGACAGCAGGGAAGTCCTGCTCTTGGCCATTGACACAACTCTTGAGCAAACACAGGCTGAGTGTCAGGCAGCAGGCTAGAGCCTGGGGTCAAAACCACAGTTCTTGCCTCTACCCTTCTGGAATCGAATATATGGCAATGATATATGACAAAGGTCAGGGAAATGTCAACTCCCCTGACCCAGTATAACTTCATTTTCAAGAATGTATCCAAAGGGAAAAGAAAAGCCTATAGAAGAATATAACCGCATGCTTTATGATGCTCACTGCATCCATAGTACAAAACACCGAAAGAAACCTCAGCATTCAAAAAAATTGAAACTATGAAGATTAAGAAGATGTACAATGTCTACGACATGTAGATGAGCTCTCTGGGGCAGAAAATCTGTCCTTCTCATCTCTTTATCCCCAGCAAGATGCACTGTGCTTGGCTCATAATGGGCACTCAGAAACTGAATAAATGAATGAACAGAAAAAATTACATCACATTATGATTAGACCCATGTGGAAAAAAATGTAAGCACCTGGAGAAGAAAATGCAAAAATAATAAAAATACTGATGTTAGCAAAGTAGAAACAGGATAACTTCTTTCCTTATTTGAAAATTACATTTAATTTTATCACACTGTTTAACGATTAAAAGTGAGTGCTCTTTTAAAAATGCTTGGATCAAAGGAGAAATACAAGGCAAAACAGTAGAATTTCTTGAAAATAACAATAATGAAAACTTGGCATATAACTAAAAATTACAAATACTTCTAGCCTTTGTGGAAATCCATCCCCAAAATAAATTGACACAAATAAAAATGATGCAAGGCTACTTGTTGCAAAAATTTTTAAGCGACAAAACAGTAGAAATAACTCCTTTGTCTGTCAGAAATGTCTATCAGTAAACTCTGATACTTCTCCCCAGTGGAGTACTACACTGCCAGGAAAAGGAATGAGGAAGCTTTCCCTAGACTGCTATGGACTGATCTCCAGGGCAGCCTAGCCAGTGGGCAAGGCAGGGGGCAGAGCCTCAGGTACGGTGTGTCATCTTGCACCTGAGAAAGGGACAAGGCAGTGCAGAATACATGGATATATGCCTATCCTCTTACAGTTATTTGCCTGTGTGTATTTTTTAGAGGTAAGAATAAACTAAAACCTAATAAAAATGGTTAGCTATAGGGGAAGGAGAGAATAGGTTGGGGGGATAGGGAAGGAAGTCAGACTTCTCTGAATGTACTTTGTTTTATAGTTTTGACTTTGGAATCATGTAAAAAACATTTTGAATAATTCCATTTAAATTAAATAAAAATGTAAAAACTGAAGCAATTCCTAAATATAAAAAATAAATGGAACAAATGAGCCTGTGTATCAACTTGGCAGCTTAACCACAGAGAGAAGGGTTAATGCAAGTGACTTTAGAACACAGTAATAATAATAGGACGGTACATCTCTAGTGGGAGATAGCCTAAAAACAAAAGAAACACAAAGAAATCTTAAACTATATTCAGTAATCCTATCATATTGTTAGTAATATTACTGGTATTTTTATTTTGGATACACACATATACATACATTAATGCCCTTAAGAAGCAAGATTTGTACTGTGTTAAAAAAAAAAGATACAAATATAAAATCAAACAAGTAAAAAGCCCTATAATCCTAAATTTGAGTTGGAAATATCAATATACACTCATGAAGTATTTTTACTTTTTTAAGAAAATAAATTGCTCTGCCACTAGAGGCAATGACCAATCCTGTAGCAACGAGCACCCCAGGCCTCAGATTCTGGTTTCTTATTATCATTTCCCTTGTAAAGGAACCAGGGTTCCTTGGAGAAATAGCTGATTCCAGGCAGAGGTGAGGTGTCAGAGTCTACTGGGTTAGATCAAGAAGATTCAGGAGACAACTTGAAGGGTCTCCACTGGTCAAAGGTAGGACAATTTGATCATCAAAAAGAATGATGACTACAATGGATTAAAACCTACCTAACTTGTTAAAATCCAGGAGTTCATAATCATACTCAAAGAAATTTTAAAAACCTAATTGGTAACCTTTGTAGATTATTAGGACACCAACCAATTATTCTAGAAATTGGAAAATAAAGGGAAAAAATAAAGCTTTTATCCTATCTTCCCTAGGCAAACAGGTTTTCCAGGGTTACCAAATAGCTGAGGGGGAAGTTCTTTATAGGAGAAGTCCAGCTATTAAATTAAGGAGGAATGATGGAATTAGAGGATCATATTTTTACATCCTCTAATGAAATCCTGGATCTAGGCAACGATGGCCAATGGCTGCCCATAGGTTGATGGGGAACTCTGCAATGAACAGATAAGGCTGACAAAACCTGAATTCAGTGATGACACTGCCTTTGTGCTCCCTGATTTGATGCAGCAGGAAAACATAGCAGCACCTAAAAAGTATTCTCACTACACTATACAAAAATCTGAGTCTGCCCGAGCCTCTAGACTTAAACACCAATTGCAGGAAATACTGGGAATAGAGAAACACCTCAAACAACACACAGAGGATGTAATCAGCCAGATCCCAAATGTGGGAAATCCGATAGGACTAATGACCTAAATTACAGGGAAGGGGGAACTGTTATAAATTACATGAGACTTAAAAGACACATCAACCAAACGCAATGTGTGGACCTTGTGTATATTCTGATATAAACAGACTATCTGCAAAAAAACAGATTTATGAGAAAATTTAAACAATGACTAGATACTAGACGATATTAAGGAACTATTGATAATTTTTATACCTGTGATAATGGTGTTATCGTTACTTTTTTTTCAAGCGTCTATATTTCTTATAGAGCGACATTAAAGGATTTACAGTTGAAATGATATGGTGTCTGGGAAATGCTTTTATCTGGGCTGGATTTATCTGGGTAAGATAAAGGAGAAAAAAATGGTCAAATGTTAATGATAGTTGAAGCTGGGTGAAGAGTACGTGGGCATTCATTTTAATATTCTCTCCACTGTTACGTGTGTTTGAAATTTTCCATAACAAAAGCTTAAAAAAAAAAAAGAAATATCCCATGATAATAAGAATGAGTGCTGTCTATCTTGCCACATGACTAGAGGGACTGGCACAAATAGACCTTTTGTTCTTGAATCACTTAACTCTAGGATGCTGCTTTCTGAATGGTGAATATCAGCTGAAATAAGACTGAAGAGAACTTGCTCCAGAGATCGCAAGGTTGCACTTTTCCATACCTGATTGTTTGGATCTGTGAGGTACCTCACTACAATAGGTATGAGATATTCAGAGAACATCAGTAGAAAATTTGATCTGTTTTCTTGTAAAAAAATGGCAATAGGAGGAATCTGTTCCATCAGCTCAGTCCGCACTGTGGGCTCTGCAGCAATAAAAAATAAAAAAAGAGAATTATATAAGAATAAGCCAAGCATCTTATATAGTATATACTGATAGTTTCTGCCTTTCTTACTAAAATACTTCATCAAGGAAATTAGACAAATGCAGTTTAAAAATCATTTCCCATTTAGAGTATTTATGCTACAGACAGGCTTAAAAAGCTAATAAGCCATAACGCAATATAAAAACATAAAAAGAAGAGAGAATGACAACTCTATTATAACAAGCCATATATAAATCGAGGAGGGAGCAAGAAGTCTGCATGCTGGGCCAGCATCCAAAAGCCATTACAACTAATGGCATATACGCCAGACCTGTGGGTTGTGCTTATTTAAATTCCAGCCAGAATGTATACATTATAAATAATTCTTTCATAAATGCACTCCCCCACAATCCACGCATCCCAATTATTTCTAAGGCAAAGCATTAAACAAAAGAGCAGCTCGAGCTCCAATATACCACATTAAATTTAACACAAATATATAATTGCTTCAGCACGGTAAATGGTGACTCATTTACCAAGAGAATCCATTTAAGGATTCAAAACATCCACTTGGGGCTCTTTAAAAGCGTTGCGTCATATTCATATGAATATTTTAAACTAATATGGGAGCTATACAGAAGGCTTATTTTTCTATTTTCAGTTAAAATGATCAAAATCTAAAGCAAACCTAAGATTCCCAAAACTTTCTGAAGCTGTTCACTAGTCATTATAAGTGCAGAGTTGGGGGTGTGGAGAGCAGCTGTCAGTACTGGCAACCCCACTGCTCACTCATCTTACTCATCTTCACCGTGTGGGGGGAGTGGATAGGGAGCGACAATATCTTAGAGTCCACCATAGGGCAGTCTGCTTTTCTTCCAGGATAGCAGTCATGGAGAGGTAGAAAGAGAAAGAAAAATCAAGACTAGCCTACAAAGATCATAGGTGAGGGAAACTAATGACTGGGATTGTTCTAATCCAAAGGACCTCTTTTGATTTGGTATTTCTTAGCAACCAATAGTCTGGCAAAACTCATGAAATACAAGAGGCCTAATTCCCAAGGCAAATAGCATTCATAGCCATTAGTCACTCTAATTTCTAAAAATAAGGATATTCGATGCCAAATAAGATGCCCATTCTTCATGACAAAATCCATTCATGGTTGTATAGTGCTTAAAATTTACTGATTAATAAACAAGTTTTTTCTAATCAGCTACCATTGTTGATACACAACTTCTTGGAAATGCAGAAGTAAAAAATAAAAGCATACAATCCTTGTACAAACCTGCATCTTCTGACAATCTGACCACAATCTCCATTACTGTTAAGAAGTCGTCTTCATTGTTACTGAAGTCCCGGAAGATATCAAGCAGCCCTCTGGCAATAATCTGACTGTGGAGACAGAAATGACCCACACGGTTACAGGGCACCACTGCCTGCCAGTGCACTGATTCCTGGCGTCATGCTAAGAGCAGGTAACACAACCAATGATCAAAGGAAAGTCAACAACTTCTGTCCAGAGGGAGGAGAGACTGGCAAGGAACATCCAAAGATGGTCATTCCGATGTGTCAACATCCTACAGGAAGAGGGCCCATATCCTCCAGTCTGGTGGTCCCTGGAAGTCGAAACTGTCCACTTGGGACAGGGAAAAGTTTTTTCACCTTTTCTGACTGATTCTTCAGGCCTAGATAGATTTGGAAGAGAGGTCTCATGACAGTGGGAGAGAATTAAGTGACCAATAAATGCAGAAGGAAAAGGCTCAAAGAGGCACTGATGGCCATTTCAATCTCGAATAGCCTCTACCCACTGCGTGTCAGTAACGTCCCCCCGGCTCCTACCCCCCCATGATGTGACAACCAAAAACGTCTCCAGACATTGCCAAATGTCCACTGGGGGAAATCACCTCCATTGGAGAACTACCACCTTAGAGGACACTGGGCAAAAGGTGGAAGGGAACTCTACTATCTTTAAAACTCTTCCGTAAATCTAAGATTATTTCAAAATAAAGTTTAAAGACAAGACAAAACACAAAGACCAAAAAAACAAAAAAGCCAGAATGAAGTAATGCTAAACCCACCAGAAAAACTAAAATTATAATAACAATACCTAGTGCTGGCAAAGACACGGAGCAACAGGAACCCACAGACGTTATCGGTAGGAAAGCAAAATAGCACAGGTGATTTGGAAAACAATTTGGCAGTCTCTCACAAAGTTAAATATATACTTATCATTCGACCCCAGCAATTCCCTCTTAGATATTTAACCAAATTAAATGAAAACATATATCCACACAAGGGCTTCTAAACTATGTTCACACAAAGGCTTCCACACAAATGTTCATAGTAGCCTTACTCATAATAGCCATAAAATGGAAAAATGCCCACGTCTGTCAACTGGGGAATGCATACACAAAACACAGAATATCTATACAATGAAATATTACTCAGCAACAAAAAGGAAGAAACTACTGGTAACAACAGGGATAAATTTCAAATGCAGTTTGCTAAGTCAAAGAAGCCAGACAGAAAAGACCACAAACCGCATGATTTCACTTACATGAAATTTTGCAAAAGAGCAGAACTTTAGCATCACAAACTGGTGGCTGCCTGGGCCAGCAGCGTGAGGGAGGGAAGCACAGACTGCAAAGCGGCCAACAGGGAAATGAGGGGGTGATGGGAACGTTCAACTTGGTAATGGTGATGGCTGCATGGCTGTGTACATTCACCCAGACTCGTCTCACTGGACGCTTTAAGTGGGTGAATTTTATTGCATGACAAACACGCCTCACTAAAGCTGTGTTAAACAAAGACAGTGATGAGGGGCAAAGTCAGTGTGAGGAGCAGTGGCCTATGTGGCCTGGAGGCCTGGGCGTGGGAGAAGAGCGGCAAGCACTTCCGAAAGGTTCTTTGAACCAGCAGAAAGGAACCCCTGCCTGCCTCTGCCTGCTGCTCTGAGTACCTGATAATCCAGGAACAACACGTACCACTTTTGGCCACACATCAGGAGAATCAGCTGAAGTCAAAACCCACCTTGATTTTCAGGCCAAGAAGACTAGAAATGCAGAGTTTAAAGAGGTAGTCTTTTGGCTCAGCATCCTACAGGAAGGAATCCGTCAACTCAAGCCTGTCCTTGGAGAGACTTACACTATTCCTGGGATGAAAGGTCGAGATCCGGCAGCCAGAAGGCTTAGGGAAGTCGAAACAGACACTATAAAGTCCCTGATTACATTTCACTGGACCACATTCATGTCAGCCTCCCCAGGGAAATCAAGCAACTAAGATCCCCAATCTGCTTCTAGGGCCATAGAACAAAGAGACAGATCTGCATCCAGCCTCAAGTGGTCACAAGGGGGCTGCCCTCTTAAGGAAAGTGAAGGACAGCGTAAGAGAGGGCCCTGAAGCAGGGACAAGCCCACCACAGTGAATACAGAGCAGGAGAGCGCTGAAGATCCAAATGAACTGATGCTTTGGCAAACCTGGCTGCTTTACGGTGGGATGACCGAAGAGGCCACAGTGAGAGCAGAGTCCAGAAGCACCACCCTCAATACTTCTCACCATCAGCTCTACTAATGAAATGAAAGAAGAGAGAAAAAGCCTGCATGCCTGAGAAGAGTGTTGTGAAGATTAAACGAGCTCACGCACGGGAAGCTCATAGCACGGTACCTGGCACACAGTAAGCCCTCTAGCGTGCCAGCCATTGATAGGCAAAGAATTGCAATCAAAATGTCTATCAAAAGAGGGAAGCTTGAATAAATTATGATGTATCTATGCACGGGCATACCATACAACCATTTTTAAAGGTACCTGTAGATAATGCACTGAGTTGGAAAGGTGCCCACGATACATTAAATGAAAAAACAAGGTAAAGAATTTTACATATAGTATGAGCCCCTTTCTCACCAAATTATGTTTATGAAAATATGTGCACCACATGTACACATAAACACACTGGTATATAACATACGCATTTAGGGAAAAGTCTGGAAGGATATACTCTGAACTGTTCACAGTCATGACCTAAGATTGTAGTGGTGGAGAGAGAAATTCTCACTATTTAATTCCTGAAATTGCTAAATGACTCAAAGAGCAGGTATTATTTTTGTGAATTTTTTAAAATATAAAGAAAGAGTATGGCTCAATTTTACATGGCAATCTTCCCTGAAAATATAACTGTGGAATTAACCCTTCCTGCCTTTGTCTCTTCTTTCCCTCACCGACTCGTGTAGTTACAATCATGAGTTTAGCCCAACTAGCTCTAGACTCAGGGCACGAAGCTTGAAGATGAGCAAGCTGCAGGCCCTGTCCTGAAGGATCTCACAGTTGAAGCAAGAAAAGTAGGCAAGAAATCCATGATGACAAACAGCGATGGCATTCTTAAGACAGAGAAGAAGAACACGGAGGAGTAAGCAGGGAAGATGAGCAGGGGCCAGGCAGAGACGAGGAGAGGTGAAGACATTGGACCCAGATGTCGGAACAATCAGAAAGGACTTTAAAATAAGCAGGATTAATATGCTACAGGTCTGGAAGAGTCAGATATGCTTGGACAGTTAAGGAATACGGGAATTCTGTACTTTCTGCTCAATGATTCTGTAAACCTAAAATTGCTCACAAAAATAAAGTCTATTAATTAAAGAAAAAAAATGATTGTGAAATAAAGACTCTTTTCAGACAAACAAAATCTGTGAGAACTCATTGACAGCAGTCTTGTACTAACAAGAATTGGATTTTTTGTTTTTTGTTTTTAAAGATTGGCACCTGAGATAACAACTGTTGCCAATCTTTTTTTTTTTTCTGCTTTTTCTCCCCAAATCCCCCCAGTACATAGTTGTACATTCTACTTGTGGGTCCTTCTAGTTGTGGCATGTGGGAGGCCACCTCAACGTGGCCTGACGAGCAGTGCCCAGGATCCAAACCAGCGAAACCTCGGGCCGCCAAAGTGGAGCACGCGAATTTAACCACTTGGCCACAGGGCCGGCCCCCTAACAAGAATTGTTGAAGGAAGTTCTTGAGACAAAAGGATACGTGATGGAAATGGGCATTTTACAAAAAGAAAGGAAAAGCATAAAACAGTTAAAAAAAAATTTACGTGCAAACATAAAAAATATTGTTATTTTCTTTCTTTCTTTTATTTAAAAGATAGTTGACTATCTAAAGCAATCTAGCAACAAGGTATTGCAGGGTTTATGAGGTGTGTAGATGTGAAATGTAGGAAAAGAGCACAATAGACAGGGGAGGGGAGCGGAAGCACTGCTCTAAGAGTCTCACCCTGTGGAGATGATTGGAATTACAAAAAAAAATTTAACTTTTCTTGAAAAGAGAAAAGTAGCAAGAAGAGTTGAGATAAACAGAAAACAAATAGCAAGATGGTAGATTTAAACCAAACCATATCAACAATAACATCAAATTTAATGATCTAAACATTCATATTAAAAGGCAGAGACTGTTAAACTAGATAAAAAAGCAACTATGGCCTTCTACGATAATCACACTTTAAATCTAAGACATACATAGGTGAAAAATAAAAGTATGGACAGAAATATACTACACAAACACTAATCGAAAGAAAGCTGGAGTGCATATATTAATATCAGGCAGTAAGCTTCAGGAAAAGGAATATTACTTAGCAATAAAGAGGGACATTACACAGTGATAAAGAGACAGATTTTTTTTTTTAAAGATTTTATTTTTCCTTTTTCTCCCCAAAGCCCCCTGGTACATAGCTGTGTATTTTCTTAGTTGTGGGTCCTTCTACTTGTGGCACGTGGGACGTTGCCTCAACGTGGCCTGATGAGCTGAGCCATGTCCGTGCCCAGGATCCAAACTGGCGAAACCCTGGGCTGCCGAAGCAGAGCCAGCGAACTTACCCACTCGGCCATGGGGTCAGACCTGAAGAGACAGATTTATTCAAGAGAAGAGAACAATACTAAATGTGTACGCACTCAAGAACAGAGCTTCAAAATACACAAAATAAAAACTGTTAGAACTAAAAGAAAAATAGATAAATCTATAATTAGAGTGGCAGATTCTAACATTCCTCTCTCAGTAATTGACAGAACAAATAGACAGAAAACAAATAAGAATATAGAAGTCCATGGGTCTGGCCCAGTGGCGCAGTGGTTAAGTTTGCACATTCTGCTTCAGCGGCCCGGGGTTCACTGGTTCAGATCCTGGGTGCGGACATGGCACTGCTTGGCACACCATGCTGTGGTAGGCGTCCCACATGTAAAGTAGAGGAAGATGGGCACAGATGTTAGCTCAGGGCCAGTCTTCCTCAGCAAAAAGAGGAGGATTGGGGACAGGTGTTAACTCAGGGCTAATCTTCCTCAAAAAAAAAAAAAAAAAAACAAACAGAAGTCCTGAACAACGTTTTCGATCAACTTGTCCTGATTGAC